TGTGTGTGTGTGTGTGTGTGTGTGTGTGTGTGTGTGTGTGTGTGTCTGTCTGTCTGTGTGTCTGTGTGTTAGATGCACGATAATGGCAGGAAGATGGAAAGAGAGAGGCATTGATTAACTGGCAGAGAGGAGAGGACGGGGTGAGCGACAATGAGAGAACAGGGAGAAAAAGTGCGAGAATGGAACGTAAACAAGGTCTCCCTCCGTCAGTTGCTCTTGACCAATCACGGCCCGTCCCTGGCCGTCTCTATGACAACAGTGACATCACTTGCCTGACGACCGTGTGTCTCCCTTGTGTGTGTGCATGTGTATGTGTGTGTGTGAGTGTTTGATGAGTGCTGGATGGAGACAGAGGTGATGACTCACCACAGCCCACAAATACACACTCTCACACACAAACACACACACACACACACATGCACACACACTGTGCTTCATTATGTGTGTGTATGTGGACACTTGTGTGCCGATGAGTGTGTTTTTGTAGAATATATATATATATAATTTGTGTACTTCCGATGTGTTTCATATTTTGGTAAATGTGTTTCTCATGATTATAGTTTTTGTCTCCCTGGTGTGCGTACATGTGCCCACGTTTGTGAGTATCAGTGAATACATTATGTCCCTCTTCATGTTCACATACTCTCGTTTATGTGTGTGTGTGTGTGTGTGTGTGTGTGTGTGTGTACAAATTTTTGTGTTTAATTTTTGCTTCCTTGGTCTTTTTTCCTCATTTTGGTGGGTTATATACTTTTTTTTTAAAAGGCCTGCAAAGTTAAAAAGGTGAAAGGTAAATGAAGCTCCTGAAACACTACACCTCATTACATGACTGGGATACATGAATATGTTAATATGGCTTTACCCCTGTTTTTTATCACATGCAATAGGGACATGTTAATATGTTTAAAAACTTCATAGAGACGAACAAAGCCAGGTGATGTGAGGTGAGAGGCCGAAATTTGGTCGATCAATGACTACAGATTGAGCGAGCTGGCCAATCAGAGCGGGGCGTCATCGGGAGGGGGGCCTTAAAGAGACAGGAGCTAAAACCAAGAGTTTCCGACAGAGGCTAAAAAGAGGAGGTGCAGCAATGGACCTTTTCAAGTATTACCACGCATTAAAAATTATGAATATGAATGTTAAATAAATCAATTTAAACTATGAGAGAAATATTTCTCTTTTAAAGTTAAAGTTTTGGTTTCCTAATACTGGCTGATATTTATAGCTTGAGGCTTTACTCCTGCTGTGAATTTTCAAATGTCAACACTGTGAGCGTCTCAAATTGAATAACATTCACCACCATTGTAAAGGCATAAATGTCAGGGACAGGTGTCTCAAACCTGAGATAACTGACACCAGAGATAAGTGACAGAGTTAAATAGAATCTGTGATGCGGCATATTTCATGTGACCTTCGTTCCAGATAAAATATCATAACCTCTGTCCTGGTCAGGTTTTGACTGATTGTGCTGCTTACCATGCAAGCATAGAGGCACAGGAGTAAACTGAAGAGATAGAAAGTATCCTAATGTCTTGTTTGTGCTTTTTTCAGTCCAAACACAACTATTTTTCTTGAATATCTTCATTTCATGGCTTGTTGGTCTCTTCCTGTGCAGATGGTTTGTTCGGACAGTGCCACGCTCCTCATCAGGAGCCCGTCCAGTACCAGGTGTCTGTTCCAGTCCTGCACAAACTCCAGGAAGTCCTCAAAGACCTAATGGTGCAAGGTGAGTTCTTTTACAGCAAGATTTGAAGCTTCACCAACCGCTCAACACAAGAGAACAGTCATTCCTTTAACGGGGCATACGTGGGTAAAAAAAGTTTGATTGAATGAGGTTTTTGTCGCCTTCTGGCTACTCAGGTCTGACGTGGAGGGATGAAATCACGCAGGCAATCATTAGCCGAGAGCTGAGTCACGTTCCCACCATCGGCTCCTCCTCTAAAGTTCCAGAGAAAGCATCCAAACAGTAAGAAAACGTGCAGCGTGTCCTATCGTTAGTCCAGTAAAGAATCGGGCATAAAAAAAACATAAAAAAGCTCATAAAATTGTTCTTGTAAGATTTAAGGGGCCCTTTGAGAGACTGCCTTTGTCTTATTTCCCAGGGCCTCCAGACTGTCGGGCTCCACTCAGCAGAGGGTTCAGGGGCCCGAGGAACCAGCCGACCCTGAGATGATGCAACAGGTTGTGGACTACATGATCCTGGATCCCTCCCAGTCCTCCGTGCACATGCAGACGCCCCTGCTGGACCCGTACACCTACCACCAGGTGGGCAAAAGATGGTTTTTAAGAGCATACAGGTACAAAACTGAACCTGTTCTTTAAAGATAGAGGATAAATCACTGGATACCTTTTTCAAAATAGTTATATTATCTAACGTGCTGAAAATCTATCAGATCTTTACAGGTTATCTCCCAGATGTTTTGACACATTCTGTCAAACTATGATTTGGACAAAAAATTTGCTTAATATTGGTTAAACTTCGGCTAAACATCCAAATTATTAAATTTCAACAGCTGCTGGACCACTGTGCAGAAAGATAATATACAAGTTCAGTCTTCTGTATTTTAGAATTTTGTTTTTGTAAATTGAGCTATTCAATTAAATTTCAATTTCCCCCATAAATAATGCCAAATGACACATATCTATTTTTAAATTAATCGGAAATGACAGACCTGCAAAAATAAAACTGCCTTTAAGGATCAGGAATAAAACTCACCTCCAGATACGTATCAGGATTATAGAGAAAACAAAACTAGCTCTATTCACCGATGTGATGTCATGTGAAATTACACAGAGAAACCACTGCAAAACCCTTTAGGTGATTGTTTTGGTTTTATTTATTGGTTGAATCACAGTGTTGTCAGCAGAGGCAGACACCGTTAGAGACCAGATGATGAACACAGCAGATCATTTATCATCTACAGGGCTGTTTATTTCCCTCTGGAGTTAGTGGAGCTCAAACCAGGATATAATATTTGGAGTCTTCAGGTGAACACCACTCACAGATGATCCCATCGCTCTGTGTCTGCGGGATGTTTCTGAGACATTGACTATACAATGTTAAGTGTTGATATGTCATAGATTTGTTTTGTGGGGATTATTCTGCCTCTGTGTCTAAAAACCCAACACGTGTCATGTGTTGTTGCAGCAGCAGTATGGTTACCAAGAGGAGGAGGAACGCTCCCTCAACTCTCTGGATGATAATCCAGCCTTCCCACTTGTCGCCTCTCGCCCCAGATCCAGAGGAAACTTTATGGACCAAGACCGTCAGCTTCTCCAAAACCTTGTGTCCTTTTACCTTACCTCCCCTTCCTCCTCCTCCTCCTCCTCTTCTTCTTCGTCCTCCTCCTCCTCTCCGTCCTCTTCCGTGCAGTCCCTCTCCCGTCACAGGGGAGCAGTGGCAGCAGCAGCAGCAGCAGCAGGTTTCCCCCCTCCGCTTTCCTCCTCCTCACCCTCATCTTCATCCTCCTCCTCCTTCTTCCCGGAGCTGGACTTCCCTCTGGACTACGGCGAAGACTACGTCTCCCAGATGTCCCAGCTCAGCAAGCAGCAGCAGCAGGAGAAGACACAGAAGGATTACAACACCCCATCAGGACTGGATGGTAAGAGAGCAGAGAAAATAAAGATGTGTTGACAGAAAGAGAAGACGTTCATCCCAAAAAACAAAATATATCCTCCCTACCTAAAATTTCCAAATAGGATATTGTTGTAAATGGACAAGTGGAAAGTCTCTTAAACTAATACCAGTAGATGCAAAGGCCTCCATCTCCTGTGTTTTCTCTCTTCTGTGTTTTACAGAGCACTCTCTGCAGAGACTGGCTCTGCTGCTCGATCACTACGGCCTGGACATGAAGGATCTGTCCCCCGAGCAGAAAGACAACGTGCCTGCCGCTCTGAAGCAGCTGCAGCTGGACAGCTCCTACGCCCACAAACAAACCAAAGGTCTGTGTCACTTCAGCCACAAAACGTCATCCGCTCATCAGTTTGCTCTTTACTGCTGCTGTTAAAGCTTCAGAGAGAACAAGATCCTGCTCTTTACACTCAGGTTTCACTGACCTTTCTGCTAATCTGCATTTATATTGTACAAATGAATGAAAAATGGTAAAGGTATGAAAGAGAATTATATTAATATGATACTGATGCCTCTCGAAAAAAAGAATTTAATATTAAAAAGTTATAATTTGTCAACATGGTTTCTGTTTTCTTTGCATTGCTGTTGTCCCGTGCATGTCTTCTCGCACTTCTATCAATAAAGCAATGAGTGAATTGCCCAAAAATATATAAATATAAATGTTCAATTTATTAAATTACATTTGTATAGTGCCAAATCACATCATACATTATTTCACGGCACTTCACATACTAAGGTTTAGACTTTACAATATACAAACTACAAAGTGTCATCATTGTATGTTTGTATGTTTTTGTGTTTTCTATTCAGATAAATATGGAAACGATGGCACAGGAAGCGAGGTGAGAGTCACTTCTGTCATCAAGTTTCTAAAGTAACGATTTTCCGTTATTTTATGCAGGAATTCTGATTTTAAAAACTTTATTGCCAATCGCAAATCAATTGAAATTGTATCTTGCAGTGTTTACAGAGTTATAAAGAAGCAGGAAAGGATAAAACAAATACTTCCTATTTCTAATTTCTTTATTTACTACAGATCACAGAGGGTTCAGTGGGCCAAAAGATGGTCGCTCCCGAGGCTCATCCCTCCACCGTCAAGTCCCCCAAAGCAGAGGGGCCCCAGAAAGAGATGTCCCCTGCTGCGGCATCCAACCAGGACAAAGTGGGGAAGAAGGAACTGGCAGCCAAGGCAGAGGAGTACGGCTACATCGTCACCAACCAGAGGTACAGTGTATATGACTCTAATGAATAAAAATGACGTACTGTCTGTGAATGAATGAGTGATGAAATTAAAGTAAGGAAAGTGCTACTTTCTATTTCCATGGAGAGACGGACCCAGACTGACATAAAAAAAGGTAAGGAAAGAAGAATGAAGAGCTGAAGGAGAAGAAGATAGGGGAGGAAAGAGGTAGAGTAGAGTAGCAGTAGATGGATGGCAGGAAATAAATAAAATAAAAAAGAGGGGACCAAAGAGAAGAATGATGCAGGGATTAAACTAAGAAAGAGAGAATGGAGGATGGAAGGAAAGAAGACAAGAATGATTAAGTGTGAGAAATAAGTTAAGTAGCCAGGAGAGGAAAATGAGGGAAATGAGACAAAATGGAAAGAAAGATGTAAAAGGCAGGAGGACAGATGGAAGGAAGAAAGAGGGAAGGGAGAGTAAAAAGGTGGAAGCGGATCCTCTCAGCCACATTCCACAACTCTTGAATGGTTGCTGGGTGTTCACGTGTGTTTGTGTGAAAGTATTTGTGTGTGTGTGTGTGTGTTGTGTATGAATGTGTGTGTTTTGTCACCGCAGCCCCCTCAGTCTGAACGACGGGGTGCGACTGCTGGAGCGGCTGTCGGAGAGGATGGGCCTCTCCACCGGCTCCTTCATCAACATCAGGTAGGAGCGAGGACGCCAGGGGGGTCATTAACCCTTGAGAAAAAACCCAGAAAAAACAAATCCCCATCCCACTCGCTTGAAGCCTCTGGATCCGCTTGTATCTGCACTCATTTGCTGGATCACTGACTTTTATTTCAAGGGATTAAACTGAAGCTTCGCCTGAAGCTTTGGAAAGCCCGGACACCAATTGAGCTGTGAATGGAAGAGTGTGTTGTTTTTCTGCATGTGGAAGAGGTTCGCTGCTTGTCCTCTGCTTCTTCCTCTTCTTGCTTGAGCCAATCACTCGCCTTCCACTGGCTAAAAGGGAAAATGATCAGATGACAAAAAACAAATCTCTTATCAACTAATTTTTGTCTTTTTTTTAATTAAATATGTTTATCAGCCTCTACAAAGGGGCTTTCTATTATTTTCACTTAAAACCATTTGTAAAAATAATTTTGTATAAACTGTATTTCCATTATTTTCAAAGTTCCGTCATTTTGCAGGAAAAAAGGAAAGAAAATCTAAAAATACAAGATGAAAAATAACTGATTCATCTAGAAAAGACAGCAAATTAATCAAGTAAGATATATAAATTGATAAGATAATAATAATTGACAGTGTAGAAAAAGGGATATCTACTCCTCTTGTCTCAGTTTTATATTGATTTATAGTTTCAGTTACAACAGCAGCATAAGTTTGGATTCACAGATTGCAGCGATTCGACCAGCAGCACCAAAACAAACACAACAGTTTTGTTTTTCTCTCCCTGTGCGACTCAACACGCGGATCTGCTTTTGTGTTTTTCTTCTTCGCAGCGTCGTCGGACCTGCCATCACCTTCAGGATCCGGCCCAACTCCAAGAACCTGACAGCTGGAGACATGGCAAAGAGCGCAGGTGAGTGACCTGTGGTTGGGCTGAGGTCAACATGAAAAAGCAAACAAAACTATATTATATTTGAGTTTTTGTTTTGTATCCGACAGCACAGCCAAAACATCTGTCAGTAGATTCCTTTAAATAAAACCTTAAAATGTTTTTTTTTATTATATTGCATTCCCTGATTTGACCTAATTCTAGTTTTTATTATTGTAATGCATGTTCTTGCTTATATTTTAGAAGAGGGAATATGTAAGAAAATCAAATGTATGCTGTTTATCGGTTGGGGTTTAATACAAGAGTCTTTTTTAATGTTGCTCAGTTGCAGAGAAGAACTTCCTGGAGTCAGAGACGGGCCTGAAGGTGCTACAGGGCGGCGTCGGAGAGGTGGGTGGTGTTTCTGATACCTGGGGGGACAGTGGGTGAACTGAAGAGTGGAGTAGATATCGTTTCCCAGTGTTACAAACCTTTGCCTTCAGTTTAAAAGCACAACAACCTGTTCTTGGTTAGGATGAATATTATCAATTCTTACCAAGTACTTTTTCTTTTGATACTTAAAATTAAATGAAATCCTACATTTCTATCCATCTATCTTTCTATCCATCTATCTATCTATCTCAGAATTGGGTTTTATTGCCAAGCAGGTTACACATACAAGGAATTTGTTGTGATGGATTTGTGCAATTATAAAAAAAAATGTGTAAAATAGGAAACAAAATTAAATATAGAAAATACTATAAGCACCAGGGATTTTGCAATATGTTGTAAGTAAACACTAGAGACTGGATCCATCTATCTATATTTTACGTATAATTGAATGATATTTGAATCCTTAACTGGTATTATTTTTATCACATAAATTAGATTTAACTGACACAAAATTTGCACCATTACTTTTAATAGTGGAGCCAAGCTTTGCAAAACCCTCCTTTTCCAAGCTTCTATTTTGAAAGTGCCTCTCAGGAAGTGTAACTTGATTGCACTTGGTTTGTCTTGACACTGGGTGTTTGCTGGGTCCATGTGAGCAGCAGCAGAAAGACAAGCTGCTCTGCATCGTGCTTTTGGTGAGTGAGGATATAACATCGACTTTTAACTATTTATTAACTCATAATAATAATCTTTGTGTAAAGTTTCTGCTTCAAGATAATTCAGCTGCATTGATTGATAGACATTTCACATGAACACCTATGTACTTAATTAGCTTTTTATTAGCCTGTGTTAAACCCTGCATTGACACTCATTTTGTTTTAATATGCCTATGAAATGTTGTAGTTGTTGTGCAGTGGCTAAATGTA